CACACACACACACACACACACACACACACACACACACACACACACACACAACTAAAAACAGACCCATTTAAAGACACTCACACTCAAGCGTGACAGTTCAATGTGCTTAGAATAAAAAAAAACATTTCCTAATCGGAACACGTTACATGCAGTGACTGACACACAAATCTACACAAACACACACACATCTTGCGTAGACGAGCAGCAGCAGCAGGCCCTGCCAGTCCGGTAAAAGTCGAACAAACCCAGCTGAGAGGAGCTGCCTGCAATCACAACGCCTATGAATCAATATCCCCGCCACACACACACACACACAAACACGCACGCGCGCGCGCACGCACGCACGCAGACACGTCTGTCACAAATATAGAGCGTGAACACTGCAGTCCCATCAATGCTGCCACTTCACTTCATGGTTGCTAAGAAAAAGCAGAATTAACACCGAACACTCAGGATGTTTGTTGGTTTTTTCACATAAAAAGTGAAAACTAGCAAACATCCCGACAACATTTATTTATAACCATGTTCCAGTTTCCAGTCACTCCCGTTGGATGACTCATCCTCCTCTTTCAGGCTCCGCTCATGATGCAGAAAAGTTTGGGATCCAGTCAGACGCGTTGAAAACCCCGACAGGTCTTTTTCAGATGTGGTTAGCATCACCTGCTGCCAGGAGGGAGGGCGATCATGTAACTGCCCGTGTCTTAAACACTGTTCTGCTGACACCTGCTGCTCCACTCTGACAGAAAACACCTGGACTGTGCAGGTTTAATGAGGTGGACCACGAACACGGCTCGAGTAAAGGACTTGAAACTTGAGCGGACGACGAGGCAACAAATGATAGTTTTTTTATTTTTACTGTAAATCTTTGTCAGCTCGATCTATAATTTATGAACTGCCTCGGGCGGATTAAAGACAGACTTTAACTTAGCCATGTTGCAGAACTGTTAGCTAAAACAGACCAAAGATTTGCTTACGTGAATGTTCCCGAGGAGTGCCTCAAGGCTCAGTTCTGGGTACCACTGGGTTTGTAACTAAATAAATCCACAGAACGTCAGTGATGTTTCAACTCTGACCAAGTTAAAAAAAAAACTAAATCAGAGCTAAATTCACTAAATTAAATCATTATTTGAACCTTTTCAGTTTCCTTAAATAAGACTAAAATAAATAAAGAATTATAAAATGGGATGAATAAAAGCCCAAACAGTGATGAAATAAAGCATCGGATCAGGTTCTGCTAATATGACAGTGCTGGTAACGTGGCGCTGCAGTAACAGCTGGGAAACTGCTGAGTCACCTTACAGAAAAAGCCTCTTGACTCATCACTCTGTTCAGCTTGACTCAACATTACAAACACAATCACCCGAGTCAAAGCACAACAAAACATATTAATAAAAACATTTATTTTTGAGAAGGTTTACACCTCAATGAGCCGTGGACCTAAATAATTCTTCCACAAAAATAAAGATAAATATCAAGCAGATGATGCTGATGATTCATCAATTAACTCATCAGTTACTGTGAAAATAAAAGTTCTGATAGTTTGCAGGTCTGAAAATATGAACAAAGACTTTAAGACGTTTTTTTCACCAGCTGGTTTGTCAAAGTCGCAAATAGCCAAATTCAAGTTTTTAATAAAATATACAAACTAAGCAAAGTGTTTTTAGACATTTCTAGAGGATTTAGGACAAAAAACTTAATTACAATATATCAATTTATTTGACTCGTGTACGTTTTTAAACAGGAAAGAAAATGAAATAATAATGCCCCCAACCGTTCTTTACCTGTTTTTGTGAGGTTTGGGTCTTATTTAAAAAGTTAAATCCATCTCTTTTTCCCAGAACTCAAATATTTAACATGAAAACTTCCATCATAGCAAACAATGACAATAACATATTCATTCTGTGAGGTAAAAACACAAACCTGCTGCTTGTCCTTCTTGAGGATTTTCATCTTCTATCTGTTCACTGCATCTGTTAAAAGAAAAATAATCCACATTACTTCCAGGTGTAAAAACAAAACTGAATACAAACAGAGTTTTTAGGTAAAACCAAAAAGCAATTTTAAATGAGGGTCTTAAAAACAGCATCTTATCTGGTTTTAAAACAAAAATAATTCAGATGAAATTACTTTTTTTCAGTTTCAGGTGCAGTTTTTTTAAAGATGAGTGAAATTATCTGAAGTGGTTTTGGTTAAATGTTTCTGTGGAGCCAACGATTAACACCAAACGACTTCTGCTCTCCCTCAAGTCTTTAAAAATGAGAATCCCCGTCAACATAAAACCACAACGAGTGCGGCTCAGACGGGTTCTCCATCTGTTCGGCGTTCCTCCTGCGGAACATGAACCGGGTTCAGAACAGAAAGTTTTTCTGCTTTTAGAAAAAAATCAGGTGTTCCTCACTCTTTGAACACTGAGAACATGACGTTCTGCACATTTACCTGCTTAAAACATTCGTTCAGAAATAAAAATGACTCAGCAGAGACAAACAAAACCTTAAAAAAAACTTCTTATATAACCTGGGTTTCAAGAGTCCTGATTAATATCTGTTTTATCTGTAGGTTGATACTGTATATACGGTATAATAAATGGAAATAAAACATCTTGATGAAATGCATTGTGCATATTTTGCTAACAAACAGGACTTAAACACTGCATCAGCCACACATCTGCCTTTAAACATGATAATTAATCCTTGCAGACGCTGATTTTCTGTGGAAATGAAGGTTAATTAGAAGCGAAGTTCGTCTGTGATTATTGAGCGTTTTGATTTTCTGATGAACACCTGTTAAAGATCAGAGCTGCACCAAACACAGCTCTGATCAGATACTTTTTATAAATCAGAGCGTAACAAGCTGACGTTTTGTTCAGAATTAAGACAAACAACTTGCAGCTCCTGCACGATGGATTAGATTACCGTATTTATTCGTGTATAATACGATCTCATGTATATGACGCCCCCCCTCACTTTTTTGAGCTAAAAAAAGCATAAAAAATTTAATCCTCAAATTACCTCCAATCTCATCCAGACTTGAAGATTTTTCAGCCTTTGCAGTCTTTATACATATCAGTAAAATGATCATTGGACTGTTCATTTTATTTTAACAACATATGTACTAAAAGGTATTTTGACAACAAATATATATCAGCTGTAGCAGCATCATATGAATTCTGGCATTTTACACATAGTCCACCAGGAGACTTCACATGAGATTTGGACCATCTTGTGGGGGAAAAGCAGATTACTTCCTACTTGCGAGCGCCCCCTCTGGTGGGGAAACTTTTTTCAGGGATACAAACTTTTTCAGAACACCGGAAGACGGCAGCCATTACAGATGAACATGTGTTTGTTGTTGTTTGAGGAGCGGCTCGGTCACACACTAATGTCATTAGTTTGTTATCATTACTGAGCTGCAGGACTGCTTTCCCCCCTTTATTTCACATCATGTCTCCTGCCTGGATCTGTTATTATCTCACTCTGAAGCACGAAGGAGTGTCAGAGGTGAGCTCGTTTCAACTGATTTTTACGACATGGTCTCATTTAAGGACTCATGCATTTTGTGAATGAAGCCAATATTTCAGTTAAAACACATAAGTAAAAATATTTATCTGAGTATAGTACTACCCCCCCAACTGTATGGATGATTTTATGGATTAAATTTTATGTATTATACTTGAATAAATACGGTAGTTTAGTTTGATGATTGACACTGGTTGAAACGTGACAAATAATTTATAACTGAGGGCTGAACTCTAATTTAATGTCACCTTTTAATGTTGAGTTTTAAACTGAAATGGTTTTATGTTGATAATGATGGATGGTTCAGCTCTTTTAACCACGACAAACCGGAGCAACATCCTCATTACTGCAGACAAACTGACTCATCAACCCTCCTCCCTCTCTCAATTTCTCCGCATCATGTTTGTAAACCACCCTGAGATGATAACAAAACTCATTTTTACAGTTTCAGAGCTCAAAGTAAGACTTGAACACATGAAAAAAAGGTTCAAGGTTTTTTTTTTTTAAGTCTTTGTTGGAACAAATTTCACTCAGCAGTGTCCTGCTCCTCTCCATAGAGTACTTTACTCTGTTTTCAATTACTTTTATTCCTTTTGCTCAATCATTTGCCCTTGAAAAGACAAAAAATATGATAGAAAATAAACGTATGATGCTGCTGCAGCTGTGAATCATCAGGAGATGCTTGCGGGTCGACCAGGAGCTCAGCCCTTCCATCTTTACCTGAGAGGGTTTTAAAAACTCCTCGTTCTGTTTCTTCCAACGAGGAGGAAACGGACGAGCGGACAGCGTCGTGCAGGTTTAAACTCAGCTGCTGCGGCACCGTCTCCTCGTGACACAGTTTTTAGGTTTTCTAGTTGCCAAGCATCCAGCTAGCCCGCTCTGGTTCTGTAGCACCGATATACGACGCATGACGGCACGTTACCCAGTTCTTTTTAAAGCTCGACCTGAACCTTCTGACCGCATCCTCAGAGCAGGAAGTCCTGCTAACAGATGACGTCTTTTCAAAACTATCAGAATAAAAATATAATAATTATGAAATACACCATGTATCATATATTAAAGACCTTATTGTTCCATACTTTCCTAACAGAGCACTTCACTCTCAGACTGCAGGTTTACTTGTGGTTCCTGGAGTTTCTAAAAGTAGAATGGGAGGCAGAGCTTTCAGTTATCAAGCTCCTCTCTTGTGGAACCAACTTCCAGTTTCTGTCCGTGAGGCTGACACTCTGTCTACTTTTAAGATTAGACTGAAGACTTTCCTTTTTGATAAATCCTATAGTTAGAGTTAGGTTTCCTGAATTATTCTTCATTTCTGCTGCTATAGACTCAGACTGCTGGAGCACAAACTGAGCACATTTCYTCACTCTGCTGGTGTCTTTAGTCTCTCTTCTCTACATGTTTATTGTTATTATTTCTATCATGTTTTTTCTTTGTCTCTTCCAGAAGAAGGTGCACCTGGACCAGTCCTGGACCAGTTCTTCTGTGTTTGTCTGTGTCTCTCCTGTCCTCCAACCAGCCGGTCGAGGCAGATGGTCTCCTGTCCTGAGCCTGGTTCTGCTGGAGGTTTCTTCCTGATTAGCAGGGAGTTTTTCCTCTCCACCGTTTGCTCAGGATGGGAGACTGTGATGAAGTGATTCAACACAATCTGCTGCTTTCTTCTTTACATTGTTCTTTTTATGTACAGTGTCCTGAGACAACGTATGTTGTGACTTGGCGCTATATAAATAAACTTGAACTTCAACTTGAACTTGAAATCAAACATAAATTGAGAAGTTTATCAAATGGTTAACTTGATCTTCAGCTATATTTGTGACCCATCAAATCGAAATGAGGATTAAGTCAAATTTGGTCAAAATGACCTAAATACATTTTCAGATTCCTGCTTTAAAAGCTACATTTTGATACCTGGATCATCCTGATATCATCAGTTTATCCAGAGATAAGACTTCATTTGTCTTGTTGGTTATGATAATACATTACTGTTTGGTCTGAATCCTAATTTTATGTAAATTAATTTAGTTATTTTGGATGTTAATATAAAGAGGAAACCTCAGTATTTGTATATTAAGATTTCCCAGTTGGAAAGAAACAAAAACTTTGCTAACTCACAGGGAAAAATTCAAAATTTTAAGGCGTTTCTCCTCAAAATCAGTTTTATTGTGGCTACTGCTAAAAAAAATGCTTCAAAACTTATTTTAGGATATGTCAGACAGTTCATTCAAATGATACATTGATAACGACATTAATTCATTACATTCTGACTAAATTCAATTTTTGCACACGTTTAAATCAAAACCTTTTATCTGCCCATTTCTCCAAATCCCACTTTTGGACTTAATCCTGGTTACGATGCGATTGGTCGCATTTATGTAATATTCAGAAACGCAGGTATGCAGTCAGTGTAAACAAAACACTCATTGCTGGAAGCTTGACTCACGTGTTTGGCCTACGTCGGGCTGGCCTCGCTAAACAAATAATGCGGTGGAATCAAACAAGCTTGGGACCTCCGAGCGCCGTTTAGGAGGAAACAAAAGAGCGAATCTGCTGCTTAAGGAACGAGCAAAACAACCATCAGGAGTAAACGCCAGAGCTCAAACACAAGTCTGCATTCAAAACACACTAAACTTCTTTAACGTTACCATTTCAACCCACCGACAGTTTACTCAACAAATCTGAAGATAAATATGTACAAACACATCAAAACTGTCAGACTTCCTCATCCCAAACAGCTCCTCCATGTTCGTCACCACTGCTGACCTATTTCCAGTCACTTCAGCTGTTTTTTTTATTATTTATTAACCTTTATTTAACCAGGCAAACCCCACAGAGATCACACATCTTGGCCCTGGAGGCAGCCTAACATACATGTTATTAAAGTGTGGGAGAAACTCCAAACAAACAGGTCCAAACCCGGGGCTTGAACCTACAACCTTCTTGCTGTGAGGCATCAGTGCTAACCACTAAAGCAGGGGTTCTTAACCTTTTTGACCTCGGGGCCCAATTTACTGAACATAAACTGGCACGAAGACCAGTCAGACATTAACAACGTATGGATCAACATGATAATTATTCTAATCTAAATCTTTGTTTAATTTTTATTGTATTTACATCATAACTAAACTATCATAACTAAATTAAATACACTTACAGTTTAAAAGTAAAAC